AGATTCAAATTCATTCTTTTGCTACAGCAGAAAACTCAGAACAGCAACATTCACAGCAGGACTGATGCATAAAATGACTAGGCTAGATACTAGGTAGCATTTTTCTGTGTAAATTTGACAAGGCAGACATTGTAGACCCTTTTACAACAATTACCTTGAAACAAATCAGGAACTGAGAGTTCCTACTTTGGCATTTTTTTTTTAAATTTTTCTGGCAATGCAAATTCTGTGTCCAGAACTGAAACCTCTAATCCTAAACCATGACTCGAGCAGAAAATTCATCAGTACTTCAATTAGTTCCCCTTGGTGGCTCTGTTACAGTTTGGTTCTCCACTATTAGAATGTGCGAAATTGAGGCATGTGGGGAAGTGGCTGCTGCTGCCAAGAAGGCAAGGTCAACACGAGTTTCGTTTGGGGAAATAGGCTTCTCCACCTTAGGGATCACAGTAACTCTTCCATCCTTGACCTCCAAATTCACTGAACAAAGTTTCACAGATCAAACAATCAGGAGCAATGTTTCATGTAAATGGCAAGTAAAATGCAGCTGGACTTCAATCTGCTGGTTGACATTGAAATGACGGTTATAATAAAGAATAAAGACAACAGAAATACAAGGAAATCATTTGACTCTCAAGCGTTAGGTGATTATTATTGCTGTTCTTTTTTCACTTCAAAAATGAATTTCACTAGTCTATTTGTTTTCTCAAGTCTAGCAACTCCTGATTGAGTTGATTCCTTCTACTGCCCTTTTCCCAACATCTTCAATCAATACTTTTTTCTGTGTTTGGATTGTGAATTATTAGAGATATTTTTACTGTAGCACTTTTTGTGATGTGATGTATGTGAGATAAAAAGGTAATTGGAAAGATAAAAAGGTGTGTTGGAAATTGTAATGATGATGTAAACAAATAAATTTTGGCTAATAATTCTCTATCCAAACAGTCTGGAACGCTTTGTCATTGAAATACAAACAAATCATCTCCCATCTTACTGATTTATGAAGAAAACTGTAGCAAAGATACATCGAATACTTGTTATTGAGGTTTCAGCAGTTAAAAGGAAGAGAGTGCGACTAAATTAAAAAAAGAGAATAGAAGACCAAGGAAAAAGGGAAAGTAAAGGAAAAGAAAATGAATACGGAAGAAAAACTGCAAAGGCAGACTAAATAAACTCAGTAAGTCAGAAACTTACATATAGTTTTGTTAATTCATTACATAACACATTGCCAGAGTCACAGCGATGCTTACTTTTTTAAGTATATAAAACTAATCCAGCTGTGACAAATGTACGATCACCAACATTCCTTATCATAGCATAGAACCAAAGGAGAACAGAATCTGATAATCCAAATCCTGAGATATCTGACCATGCACGTTAAGAATCTTGATTTTTTCAAGAGATAAGAGAAGACAAGTATTAATTATTTCCATTATCTCAACAGTTCCAAAATTAGCAGTAAAACCGAGTCATTCCTCATGCAACACAATGATCAACTTTATACGTAAGACCTCTGATAAAAATAATTCACTCAAAAGCTGATACATAATGCGTTCTTGCACTTATCAACGGGCACAGGACAATGAAGTCCAGAAATCCAACAAGTTTCTATCAGAGGCAGATATCCGTAAAAATTAGAAACATAGAGAAACCTTTTGAACCTCAAGAAAGCTCTTGTCACTTTCTTTTTTCACTCGAGAACTGGATTCAAGCGAACTATTTTCATTCAACTATTCCTCTGAAAGAGACCATCCCACCACTGTTCATTACAGATTAGTCTCCTCTTTTGATTCTTTAGAAAGAAAACCATGCAACAGATAAACCGAAAGACCCAGATACATCAGGAGATCAGGAAAAAGTGAGGGAAGAAACTGAAGCAAGAAAACCAAAATAGCATTCAGAAAATAATGATATCTCCAACACTCTTTTACAAGATTGATCTCAGTAAAGCTCTGACACAAAGTGGATTCCATATTTACTCGATAAACTTGACAAACGAAAACTTTAAGGAGTCTGTTAGGCGTTCTTAAACAAAACTGGATAGATGCTTCTCTCAGTGAATCCATACAAATAACACAATCATGTACCATCACCAATGTTCTTATGATAGTAGTATTAAACAAGAACACTTGATTTCACAGCAGAATCTAATAATCTGATCGTTTATAGATTTCCACTGTTCCATCATCACTCAATTTATGTAATATGTCCTTCCAGGAACTAAAACGCAACTGAATCATGGATCATGAACAGGTCATATCACTAATATGTAATCAATTTCTTGAAATTATTAACCACCAAAAAAAAATAAAAGAACAATCAGCTACAGAAAATCAACCCACGAAAAGCCCATCCATTAATAGCCAAAATTTATAAAAATGCCGAATCATGCATCACAAACCCGAACAGCCCTGATGAAAATATTCAATAAAAGCTGAAATAAAGGAGTAAGCTGGAACCAATAAACACAAAAACTTCCATCAAGCAATGAGCTACTGCAAAGTCCAAGAATAGCCCATGAACTATTAACTGAAAAGAACGGAACATGTAGCTGGTTTGTTGAAGATAATAATGAGATACATACCAGGATAGCAGAACCACCAGAGAATGAAGAGGCAAAGAAGGACCATGATAGGAATGATGTGAATGCAATTGTCTGAAAGAGTCCTTCTGCGATGATGATGATGATTTGTGACGCTGAAGATGGGAAGATCATCACCATCAGCCCTTCCCCTTCTTGTCATAAATAGCAAATTGGGTCTCTGCATTTTGTGTGAAGTTCAATTTACTGCTGTGATTTTCTGAGTGTGTGTTACTTGGGGGAAATGTATGTGTCTCTTGAGAGAGGGGGGGGGGGTGGGAGAGAATTTTCAAGGGTTGAATGGTTTGTGTTGTTATGGAAATCGGAAATTTGTGCACTGTTACTTGAATGAGGAGAAGGAATCTTGTAATGTATTAGTTAGTTAGTTAGTTATACAGGGAAATGAGAGAGGGAGTCTGATCTTCTGTTATTTGTTCAATTTGGTTGGTTGTGGCGGGAACAGTTTCACGTGCGAAGCACGTGTCAAGGCAAATACTAGTGGAACTTCATTTTAATTGACCGCAGCAAAACTTCTCTGGCATCATTTGTTCATGATTTTAGTGCTGAAGTTCTAAATTAAAACAAAGAAGTAGTACTAATTGCTTTTAATTGTGAAAAGAGATGTTTTTAGTAGGGCTACGATTGCGAACCTATTGCAATTTTATGTGAGTTCTATATTTAGCAAGAGACATTCTAGTTTTGTTCTTTTTTTTTTTTAATCCTTTCATTCCTCCTCACACCCTTCTTACCCTTAAGTGTTAGGCATAGGATTTAAACTTTTAACCTGACGAGCTAAATATTTTTTTATGGTAATGAAAAAATATTTTTTTCTCTATTTAGTATACAAGCTAAATAAGTAGTGACAATTAGAGTTCTATCTATAGTAGCAAATAGCTTATGTTAGTTCAACTTTTAGTTATAAACTATAAAGGAATGATGAAGATGGACATTTTGGGCATGAAAAGCAGATTTCTATGTCCTTGAAAAATGTGCAATTTTACATTCATAGGATTTTTTATTTTTTATTTTACTTTTTGACATCCATACTAGGGGGAGAGCTTGGAATTTACTACAGGTACGGAGGTTTACACCTTTGATCTGCACCTTATGTTTCACCTAATTGTCAACTTATCCAAGGGGAATTAGTTTACATCCATAGTTCACCATGTTTATAGAATGATGAAAAGTACAGTTATTGGAACACAAAGTAAGCCATTTACTTGGGGGTAAACAAAATTCCCTAGTTTTCCTCTACACGTAGTTTTTTGCATAGTTATTAAACTAGTTCCGGTAAGGAACCCGGCAGAGGAACTGGGTCACGAGTTCAACCAGTGGATCACTAGTTGAACCGGTGAGTATTAATTTAATATTTATAAATATAAAATAGTAATTTTAATATACATAAAATATTTAATAAAATGCTTTTAGATACTAATTATTATACTTAGAAAGATATATAATAAATATATAGATATTAATAGAAGATTTAATTTCATTTTATCATACTTTTAAATAAATAAATAATATAGTCAAGTATAAAACAAAATTTCTATCGCTTATTTTCAAAACTATAGCATTATTTTTTTCATTATTTTATTTTTTATTTAAAAATAATTTAATTTTCTATCTAATCAAATATTATCAGTTTAAAAGTTAAAAGGATTAATTGTATAATAAAAAAATAAGTTTATTAAAAAAATTAGTTATCAAATAAAAACTAAACAAATGGTAAAGTCTATATATATTTAAATGAAAATCCAATGTATAAATCTTATCAAAAACATATATACATTTTGTTTCAAAAACAAAGATCCATAATAAAAAAAAAAGGTAAATCAGATCAATTGAAAAATCGAACGAATTTTCGATTGAACCAATGGATCAACCAAGTTTGTCCAGATTTTTACCGAATCAATTCTTGTCCAATCACACTAGAGACCCGGTCCGGTCTAATGGCCGATTCAACCGTCGAGCCGATCCGAATTTAATAACTATAGTTTTTTTCACTTGGTTAGTATCGATTTATTTATACGTCATGTATATATCAACATATTTTTTTTAGGAGTATAAGCACAAACTTGCTAGAGAATCTTTCAGATGTATGTGATGTGAATAATATTTTGAGTTTTGACATTACTAAGGACCTTTGTATTTGTTGAGGATAATCACCGAAGGGCATTCTAATTTCTAAGATTATCCATGGGTATATTTTGCTTGCATCAGCAAAGTAAAGCGCCAACCATTTTTTGAGGGAAGTTTCTGCAATTTTCTTAAACCTGAAGGGTACCGCCTTCAATTTTCACAAACCTCAGGGGAGGTTCTTAAAATTATCCGAGGAGGATTTAATGAAATTCCAGGGCCGAAAACTAAACCACAGAATAGGTGATGACGCAAGCGGGCACTCTGCAGACTCAGGCTTCCAGAGGGCTTCCCTTCTTGGGAAAAGTTCAAGTACGAGCATCATTCTTCCAACAACTTATGCTTCGAATGAAAAAACAAAATGAGCATCATTCTTCCCACTAAATAAAACAATTTGTCCTCTTATTTCACTATACTTTTCTCTTTTTTGAATTCGAATTGAAGGTTCTTCTTACACGTGAGCCCGACTAAAGATTTACCCTGGACGCAGAGCCAAATTTGAGGTAAAGATGGCTGATGCTAGAAGGGGGATTTCTGTTTTTACCAGAAGTACAATGCAGAGAAGCACCCGTTATCATGTGGAACAGAAATCAGAAAACACATGAAGAGGTACTTGGGCCAAAAACTAGCACGGATATCAGTCATTAAGCCTGGTTTGCTCATCATCATCATCGCGAGTAGTGGTTCCAGCAAGAGGTTTCTGTTCATCATCTTTTCTTGATTTATATGAAGATGAGCTCTTTCGGGAATTATGGACAGGAAGGCGACTGGGATCATATGTTTGGGATGCAAGGTAATTCAAAGCTATAACAATATCAGCTATCACGGGTCGCATGCTAGCTTGCTCCTGGACGCACATTGCAGCAATTGCAAGAGCTTGATACAAGCCCCTTACGGGATATTGACCTTCCAGCGATGGATCAGCCATCTGAGAGAATTTTCTCCTGTCTCTGAACAAGGGCCGTGCCTGCAATTAGCAAAGAGAATTGCAGGGGTATTATATATGAATGCCCTACAGACAAAATAAGAGAGAGACATATCTGTGTCTCTATGTGCGTGCTCATGTATCAGTGCATGCATGTACAAGTGTGCGTCTGTCCGCGTATATAGCAAGAAAATAATCTACCAGAATGAAGCATGCCCATTTTAGGCTAAGGTGCAGGGCAAAAGTGCATCATTTCAACTATCACTAACCTGTTGCACATAGGCAAAAAGAAGGCAAAGCACATAATTAAACATTCAAACAAAGATATTGATTCAAAAACTTCAAAACTGAAGCAGCCAAAACAGTGTATGGGCTATAGGATCCACCAGCAAGTCACCCATTGATGGAAGAGTTCAGATTTTCAAAAACATTCCTTTTCAGATTCGTGGAAATTCATAACATCATTTATATATTTGTTGTAAGCTTATCTAGCAAGCATTAGAGCCCAGATAAGGTACCAATGGAATAGTTTAGCAGACTAACATGAATCAGGAATACATGAATTTATTTTCACAGCTTCAGTCCGACTCCACTAACTTCAAATCAGGACGTTAGTGCCTCTTTTAACACATCTCATGTAGCTTCTATGTTCAAGAGCGCACATATAAATTATCTGCTAATTCTAAGTCATTTCTGGACAGTGTAATGGGTGTGACTGCATCAAACTGACTTCTAGTCACTTAATCTATGGAGACAAAAGAAAGTGATTACTGGTCACAGATATATCACTCCATCCTAAAGAAAATCAAAAAGGAAAAGAAAGAAGCATAAGCATAAGTTGATGCTAACAACAGGAGTACATGGGGAAAGAGACATTGGATGCTTTATATGTGGTCCCCATTCTCCAATCTACCTCGGTTACTTAAGCAAAAAGTAACTTTGGTGGTCTAAATGGCAAAAGAATCACAATCCAATTGACAGCAGATCAACTATAGATGATAATTCTTGACAGTCCTCCAAAAAGTTGAAATAAAAAATAAAAGGTGATCCAAAGGAACAAAAAGCAAGGATCCCAATTCAGCAGAAAATCTAACGGGCACTTTGCTTAGAGTTCCCTCCGCCACTAGGACATAAACAGTCTCATTTCCATTTCAACCAAGGCAAATACTAGCAGGCAAGAGAGAGGTAGAGCTAAGTTACCCATGCAACCAAATTTTGCTCTGCAGCAGGTCTAGAATCGTCAATTGCTTTCCTGCCAGTGATGATCTCCAGAAGAACAACACCAAAGCTATAAATATCAGATTTGAATGTAAGCTGACCGGTCATTGCATAATCCGGAGCACAATATCCGTATGTACCCATCACCCTGGTGGAAACATGACTTTTATCTCCCGAAGGGCCAACTTTGGCCAAACCAAAATCAGATAGCTTTGGATGATAACCCTCCCCAAGAAGAATGTTAGAACACTTTAAATCTCGATAGATGACAGGAGGCTTCATCTTGTCATGCAAATACTCTAAGCCTCGAGCTGCACCAGCTGCTATATTCATTCTTGTGTTCCAATCAAGCTTTTTTTTATTGGATGGACGACCTACAAGAGTAACATAAATAACTTGACACTCATTGAGGATAAAGTGGCACATTAGCAAGATGGGACAGTTTCAAAAAGGGAGCAAATATAAGACATGCAGGCAAAAAGAATCAATCAAGAATATATGTAGCAAAACAACTCTAACCAAAATAACAATAATAAGTTCTCCAACATTGCACTTACCATGTAAATGGTCATCCAGAGAACCCAGGGGCATGTACTCATAGACCAACAGCCTCTGAACTCCCTCAGCACAACAACCAATTAACTTGACAAGATTAGGATGATCAGCCAAACTTAAGAATAATGCTTCAACCGTAAACTCCCTGATCCCTTGACATCCATTAGGATCAAGCTGCTTAATAGCCACAATCTACAGGGACAAGAAAAACTAACTTTAGATCTTTTGCAACATCACACATAGTACTAAGCATCTAGGTAACTAACGAATTTCTGAAGACAGTTTTAAGTAGTGGCGAATTTGTCAAATTGCAACCTTTAAAAGACAACAATAACAAAACTGACCTGACCGGTATCTACCAGACAACCTTTGTAAACTTTGCCAAAGCCTCCCTCCCCCAGAAAATTTTCTGACCTGAAATTTTCTGTAGCAGCTTCCAGTTCAGTATATTGAAAGGCCCTAGAGTTTGATCGATTACCATCTTCATCACAAAAAGACCTCTTACTAGCCACCTCGTCTGGTGCTGCAGATGGATTTATATCTATCTTGTTCTCCTTCTTCCCACCTTTATTTGGGCTCACTTCCCGTTTATTAGCACAAAAACACAAGAAGCACCTAAAAACATAAGTATGATAGAGGCCCACGGGGGAAGAAGGCAAAAAGACATAAAGAGAACATGGGCAAGATGATGCCAAAATATGGATTTCATATGATCCTCAGCTAAGTAGTACCAAGGGATAACCATAATAATTACTAAAACCTAAAAGCAAACAAAGAACCCCAGAAAAGACAAAATCACATAACACTAATAATTAAACAGTAACATCATGAATAACAATAAATATTAGGAAAAAAATCAAGTCGTCCCAAAGACGGTGTACAGCAAACAAGAACCAGCATTCACTATTTCAGACCATCAGGAAAAAAGGGTCAAAGATCCAACCAAACTATGTCACCACAATTGATGATGGACTCGGACACTTTCATCAACAAAGCATCCTGAGCTGAAATTAAATGTAATAATAGTCAACTACATCGAAAGCACACCGACACACATCAAGATTCAAAATTTCCGGCATCCGTCCTAGCACCATGAACCATAACTTACAAAAACCAACGCAGAAAAAGACAACCAGATAATTTCTGACAGACCATCTCCTACAAACTGGAAAACTTTAAGGGAAAATCCTATAAAAGAATTAATTATGCAAATTAGAAAAGGCACCTCAAATCATAGCAAAAGTCCCACTAAAAAGCAGACAAAAGAACCATGCAAATAAAACATCAGGAAGAAGATGGTCAGGCTTCATTCATGAAAAGGAACCAGCAAATTTTGTACCCATTTTCAATTTTCAAGCAAAATCATGAAAAAGAACCAGCAAATTTTGTACCCATTTTCAATTTCCAAGCAAAAGTCATGGAAAAAATAACCTTTTTAAGTTTTTCTTGCAAAAAATCAATCAAACAACATACAAAGCTCAAACCTGTTGTGGGTATTCTTTGATCATCTTTTGTATAGTGATTGGTATTGATATGACTATAATTCTTCCTTTTTTTCTCTGGCTTCTTGATTGATGATGAATCTCCTGAACATGGAAAACATCCCATGCTTTTTCCCTCTCCTATCTTTCTATCTATCTATCTCTCTCTTATATTTATATGTATATGTACTGTGTTGTCTGTGCGAAAATGTATATACTCTTGAAAATTATTTCTCCTTTTTACTCCCTTCTTCCTGCCTAAAAAGATGTATATGAAACAGAAGGCCCAGACACAGAAGAGAGGAATTTACAAAGCTGGTACAAGGTTCTGTAGAGAAAGAAGCATAGAGACACAGACAGCCAACACGGAGTGCTCAGCCTTAAGACACTCCTTTTGCTCTTCTTAGTTCTTACTTTCGTTATTTTGTTTCAGTTTTCTGATTTTTTTTTCTCGAATTTAACGACCTCGAGTTGTTATCGCCTGTGACACACGCTTCGGAGGTATTCCAATAAAACTGCCATGTCATTCTCCCGGATTTAGGTGTGCAACCGACTCTTAGCTTGTCAGAGGCTAGGTGGTTTATAAACAAGTACTTCTAATTTTCGACATAAGTATTTTTAATTTATCAAAAATTAGAATATTTATTTTATAAAAAAATTAGTTACTAAACATCATAAAAGTATTTTTAATACTTAAAAGCTTCATTTTTTGGTAAATGCACCGTAACTTCAAACAGGATTTAAATAAGTTGAATAAGTTCAAACTTATTTAATTATTTTTTGGATTTGAAATTTTATTTAATTTTGACTTGTTTATTTTTTGACTCGAACTCGAACTGGAGTTGAACTCGAATAACTTGAACTTTTAAGATGTAAATTTTGCTTATATGCTAATCGAGCCAATCTTGAATTAAATTTGAGAGATTATCAAATACAAATTGCTGTTTAAAGTTGGTTTGATTAATTAGTAAACTAAATTCGAATGAGTTCTCATCGAGCTGAATTCAATTCGAGTATTAAGTAGTTTAATTCATTTTTCAAATTTACTCTGATTCTGCTAGTTAGGAAAAATTGCTACAAACTCCTCGTGTTTATAACAAATCTTTTAGCTTTTTGCTAACTTAATTCATTTTATTTCCTGAATAGCTTGAAACTTATGTCCAAGTTTGAACTTAATTATATAATTAACAAGTTTTATTCTTTTAGAATTTAGTTTGCCTCAAGCTTGAAAAAATAATGAACACCAAATTTTATTTTACCTAATTTAAAATTTATTAATGACTAATTTCAAATGAACACTTATCAAACATAAATCGATGTGCATATCTAGTCATTTTATTCATGTTTATAGCTCCAAAATTTTACTTGTTTTCCTTGTATAGCATTCCATTTTTGCTTCACGTGAATTTAATCTTCAAGAAAGAAAAAAAAAAGAATCATTGTGCTATTTTCATCAAACTAAATCAGATAATAATGCGTGTCTTTTTTCTATTATTTTTACCTCATGAGCCAATGAAACACAAACTTAACCATTAATCCAAATCATGCATGCATCAAATAATTTAATTTTATTATTTGGAGTCGACGTATTGTATTGTTTAAGGATTCTTGTACCATATTGTTTTAACTTATTAATGTTCCAATGGCGTTTGTTGATTCATATAATTTGCCATTTAAAAGTATAATCATATTTAGCCTCAAATTGATGGGGAAGTGATGGATTTGTATAGCATAATGGAAAGGAATATGAGTGAAAGATATTGGATTTAAGGCCTGCTACTTGTACTATTAAAAAAAATCTCAAATTGATGAGATAGGTATATTTTCAAATACTTCACCAAGTAAATTTCTCAGTTTAATGTATGAGACCAGATTAGTATTTGGAAAGTGAGAGGGGCCTTTTCAGCAATTCCCCGGAAAAGTCCATTCGCACCGCAAGAAAAAGTGGAGCATTCTCATTGGAAGCTCTGCTTAGCTCAAAAAGTTCACATGCAGCAGATCTTACTTTCCGATTATTAATCACAGTTTAACTTTTGTCACCGGCAGGGGAAAAGTCAAAGTGAACTGCTAACAACAGAGGGCCGATTTATGACCATCGATCCAAGGTTCCGTGAAGCGGCCATCAGCGGTGCTGTGATATGAGGTGGAATCAACAGTGCCATACACGTTTTCAGGTGGAGAGAAAATCGACGGATCGCATTTAAATCGCTTTGAATTGATTCCATATTTGACACAGGCTTTAAGGAAATGGTTTGACTTTCAACAGGAAATTCATTAAATTTTTGACATTCGTATTTCGAGAGCTTTAAATAAATGCATTGATTCTTTTTTTTTTTTTCCCTTAAATATTACTTCATTGCTAATTAAGGCTTTAAAAAGTGTGTAGAAACAAAAATATACTTTTGGTCAGAGAATTTTCAGAGCATCCGCTGGAATATTCACTTATTGAGAATATTTTGAGTTTAGTTTCAAGAAAATTATGGAGGGGCAATTCTACATCTTTTTTAATCTTCCACCCCTCTTTATACCCTTTCCATCCCAATTGCAGAATTTGAATCCAGAACTTAATACTGAAAAAAGTTCCAAGAAACTGTTTGGTATGAAAGAAATGGAAGGAAAGGAAATGAGAGATCTCTAGTGGAAAAAAAATGAAAGGAGAGTAGAAAAAATATGAATCCATCCATTTTTATTTTGGATTATAGAAGGAAAGGAATGGAAACTATTATACATTAATTACATTTTTATTCATAATTTAAAAATCTAGTTTATAAACACATATAAGTTATTTAGAAAATTTTAAAATTTTCTTTAATCTCAGTGTCCTTTTCCTTCATTTCCGCCCATCTTCGGACGGAAAAGTATTTTGATAAAAAATAATTGAATATTATTATCCCTCCATTTTCTTTCCAATCATTTCCGTTTCTCGCCTCAGAAACCAATTTAAACATCAAAAATCTTATCCCTTCATTTTCTTTTCTTTCATCTCCTTCCATTCCCTCAAAACAATCAGTAGTGTCTAGGAGCCCTCTTCTATCACTAGGGTTAAAAATACAGGATTCACTTTTAAAAAGGTGACTTTAAAAGAATGGTATACTTAGGCAAATAGGGACAAATATGAAAACTCCTAAAAATTAGGAGGCAGACAATCTTTGAGTTTACGTTCCCGTTCCCGTGACCTTCTTGTTCGGAGCACTGGACGACTTGGATGGTCAGATAGAACAAAAGCTTGTCGTGTAAACCATACGTCATTTAAGGCAGTATCTTCTTTTTTCTATCAAGCAAATTCTTAGGCGTTATTAAAAAAAAAAAGAGGAAGTTTTCCAACACTGCCGAGTAGTACCCAAAAAATGCAAAATCAATACTCACAAAGGGCACAATCGATAATTTCTAATATGAGTCGCTTACGTTGCTCAATTTGACATGATAATAATGCTCTGTTCAATGAATCGAATGCTTCTTTTTTGTGTTCCCAAGAAAATTTTGCCATTTTGCACAAAAGATTTTAGGTGATTAGTGTGAATGGCGTATTTTGGACATTTTATCGATCGGATTTTATGTCGGGGACGTGGAAATGTTTGGTGCCTATTCACTTCATTGTGAAGATTTGCCATTACCCAGTAAAGTAATACTCCCTCCGTCCCGTTTTGTTAGTCTTGTTTTCCTTTTTTGTCTGTCTCAAATTGTAATCCACTTTCCCATTAAAGAATGTAGTAATCTTTCAAATTGTCTAAAATATCCTTATTAAATATCTTGCTATTAATACATTGTTATTAAATACTAACCCACTACATTGAATACATTGAGCTTTTCCAATATATAGATAAATGAAAAGTCTATCTTTGTTATTTATTGGCACTATTGGCGGTAATTGAAACAATCAGGGTGCACTATTGGCGGTAACTGATATTTATTGGCACCATTAGCTGTAACTGATATTAATTGGCACTCTTCATGATTAGCATAAAGGTGTTTTAGAAAATTATTAATCTAAATTTATGTTTCCAACCAAATTAATTACACTTTCTTAATCTGTGTGAAAAAAAAATCAAGACTAATAAAACGGGACGGAGGGAGTAATTCATAGTAGCAAGGAAGGTGGGAAAGTAAAGCAAGCACATAATTCAGTGCGTTAGAAGTAAAATAGAAGGGACGTCTTCTTCATGTCTTAAATCTGATTGAAATCTTTTATGAATGAGATTTTGGGTTAAGAAAGGCACCCCAGGTCCTAAAGGCCCTAAACTATTTAATTTGCCAATAGGTTTATGCCCCCTTCCCATCAGATTGGCTTTTATTTTGTTTTTTTAATCTAACTTGTCAAAAATTAAGTTGGACACCAACCAAGCATTTAAAATTCCTCTATAGGCTTCGGGTAAAAAAAATTCTAATTCGCCGCCTATGGTTTACAAAACTCAAAAAAGTGTGTTGCTCCACAGCTTAATAAGTTTATTTTATTTTAATTTTACCTTACGTAATCGGATTGGGTCCGCGATTCCCCTCTGAAATAGGAGGATATTTACAGACACAATTAAAAAAAACTCACGAATGTAAATACTCTAAAAAAATTCGGGATGCGTGTCATCATCGCACGAATTTCAGCAACCACTTGTTCTGCTTCTACATATTGATCATCTTGAACAAATAGAAAACTTTTTAGTGGAATATTCACATTATATAGAATATTATCACAATACCTCTCTGGTGATCTAGAGATGAAAAACCTTTCCCTTCAAACCTTTGACGGGTTTTAATAGTAGCTTATTTGGAATAATTTTTTTTTAAAAAATGTAATAACATTTTTTTGATATAACGTATGTAAAATAAATAAAAAGTAATTAAAAAATACATTAATAATGAAAGTAAATAAATATTACTCCTAGTAAATAATGTACCATCCGAACACCAGTCGATGCATCACTACACCTTTCCGTCCAACCCTTTTATAGATAGATGTTTTCTTCGTTTGTACAGCCTGACTGGTATTCACAACACAAATAAGCAGCCCACAGCATTTTGCGCGAGGGGGCAAATCATATCCTTCTCACCACATGCCCCGGTGAGAAGACAAAAAATGGTTCAAACTTTCCGTTTTTACTTTCGGCCCGGTCTATTCACCAAACAGTTGTTTTGTCCGAATGATCAAACTAAAACCCCCTCATGATTGGAATTGTTAACCATAGAAACTTGCCAAATGTACTTCGCTGTTGAATTTAAGCAACTGCCCCAAAAAATGCGCCACATCTCGGATTTCCAATTATTCTGTCTGCCCCTTAGAAGTTAGCTCCAATCTTTTGGCACCCAAAGAAAGAGATAAAATAAAAAAATGTATTGATGTAGTTCCTTTCGAGCGGAGACACCCGTAAGAACAAGACCATACCACCGGTCATCGTTGATTAAAGACTGACCCA